AAAAAAAAAAAAAAAAAAAAAAAAAAAAAAAAAAAAAAAAAAGAAATAAGTGAATTAAGTGAGAAAAGTTGGATCCACTGCTAATACCTCCCTGAGATTCACTCCTCTTTAGTGTTAACCTTTTGCCAGGAATCCCAGGGATCCCTTGAGATTCTCCCCGGACTGTACTCTGGAATGGCAGCAAGCTATCTTCCCACCTGCATCCTTGGAGGGAAATTGGAAGGCTCTAGGATTTAGTAGTTCTTAGTGCCATGAGTATGGTGGATGGACCTTCAAAAAAATTCTTAAATGAATGAGCGATTGTATTTTATTAAAATTGAGGTCACTTTCACTTTTGTCTTATTGTAACAGTTGAAATTCGGGCTACGATAGCATATTAGGAAAGGTTTTGGCTACGAGTACCAGGTAACCCAACTAAACTGGCTTTAGTGGGTGGGTATATTTGTCTTAAGAATTCTGGAGAAGTAATCCCAGCTGAGAGCACCTACTCACAGATGTCATCATAGATCTGAAATCCTCCTGTCTTTCTTTTCAGCCATCCCTAGCATGTGGCTTTTGTTCTCATGGTCCCAAGATGCCTGCTGTCCCCACCTCCCAGTCAGTGCTTCCAAGCTCTAGACAGGAAAAAAGGAGGCGTAATAAGAGTCAAAGAGCAAGGGGGAGTCCTCCTAGGAATATCCGCCTACATTTTATTCTTCAGAACTGTGTGGTACGACCAGCCTTGGCTGCAAAACAGGCTAGGAACCTGTATTTTACCTTCTCAGCCTTTACACAAGAGGAAGACGAGGGAGAAGAGTGACGTGAGTGGCTTTGGGTAGTCAGTCCGTAGAGTCTACCATATCTATCAAGACTGTTTTCTTTACTCTTTTGAGCTAAAAGTTTAATATTGTATTAGAGTTCTCCAAAGAAACAGAACCAAAAGGTTACACACACATATATGTGACCATATATGAATATAAAGATATATATATAGAAAGAGAAATTTATTGTAAGAAATTAGCTCACATGATTATGGAGGTTGAGAAGTCCCAAGATATGCATTTGGCAAGTTGAAGACCCAGGAGAGCTGGTGGTGTAGTTGCAGTCCCAGTGTGAAGGACTGAGAACCAGGAGAGGCAGTGGTGTAAGTTCCAGTTCAAAAGTTGGAAGGCTCAAGATCCATGAAGTGTTGATGTTTCAGTTTGAATCTAAAGGCAGGAAAAGACCAGTGTCCCAGCTCAACCAGTAAGTCAGGAGGAGTTCCCTTGACTAGAGGGAGTGTCAGCCTTTTCGTTCTGTTCATGCTGTTATCTGATTAGATGAGGGCCACCCACATCAGGGCGCGCAATCTCCTTTACTCAGTCGATGGATTCAGATGTTAACGTCATCCAGAAATACCTTCACAGACACAGTCAGAATAATGTTTGACCAAAGATCTGGGCACCCTGTGGCCCAATCAAGTTGACATGTAACATTAATTGTTACAAATACTGTATTAGAGATAGGCCAAATGGTGTGACCAAAAAGTATTCGATTGCTCTAATGCCCTGTGGCCCAATCAAGTTGACATGTAACATTAATTGTCACAAATACTGTATTAGAGATAGGCCAAATGGTGTGACCAAAAAGTATTCGATTGCTCTAATGGATACTACTCCATTCTGTATCTAGCAGGCTGAGTGGTCTTGGGCAAGTCATTCAACCTCTCTGGATTTTTTTCATCACCTGCAGTATAAGGGGATGAGACTAGATAGTCGTAAAGCCCCTTGCAGCTCTATTATCCTATGTTTCTATGAAATGTTTCCTAGTGAAAGTAAAGTATGTACTTAGATGAGAATATAAACTTGGTTTGCAATTAATTCATCAGTTATATTTTCAAATTTCCAATTATTTGAGAATTTTGTTCCATTTAATGATATAAACATCCCTTCTGAAATCTCTGTACTGTTGATTTGCTTGGAAAAAATAATAGAGAGGTAAATTCAGCTTAGTATATTCCCCAGAAGATCATAAATTCAAAATTAGTTTAGTCAAAATTAATTTTACTTTAGTTCCTAGATTTAAAGTTTTCAAGCATATCTTTCTGCTTTTCTTGGAACCTAGAAATTCATCTCACCAGGTTTCTGCAACAAGCAGTATTTATTATATGCCTACATCTGCATGTTACTAGACTTGGCTGTATCATGTTTCAGGAAGGCAGGGACCCTTTTAATAGTGGGTATAATTTGCATGTGTAATGTTGTTATTTGTAATCAGCAGCAGCAGCTTAATTTCTAGAAGAAATAAAACTTACTTTCTAAGGGAGGTTTTGGAATGGTTTGGGGTCTCTTATGACTTTCCCAGGTCAGAATTCAAGGCAACGGAAGCAGAACAGACCACGTGGAACTGATCGTTTCCATAAGTTTGCGAATAGTACATAGTGTGCTTCCTTGGATGTCACATGCTTTGTTGGGGGAAAAAAAAATCTATGTTTACTTGTCATATTTTTTCCTAAGGCCTGTTATGTTTAATTATTCTTTGAAACACCCTGTCTATCAATGTATACTCAAAGCCTCATTGCTTCATGCCTAGATGATTGAAATATCCACAATCGTTCACCTGGCCCTCAATTTCTTTCCTTTCATCTGTCCTGTGCTCTGTCTTAAACTTTCTCAAATACCACTGTTTCCATATAATTGCTTTACTCAGAGTTTTTCAAGCTTTAACCATTATTTTTAGTGTTCAGGTTAAACTTCAGACTCTCAGTGGGAATTCTTGGTGGGTATTCAGTGTCCTCCAAAGTCATGACCCCAAGATTCAACCTGCCGTGTTTTCTTTTCCTTTTCAAAATTACCATCTTCCTTTCATTATACCCTTTCCCC